TTCGTTAATTGTTAGTAAGTGGCATGCCCTATCCACATACAGAATGTCCTGAGTGGGTGAAACCCGAACATCTCCCTCGAACCCAATCCGTGAGCCCCTGGGTGGTAGCTTGTGACAATGAACCACAAATTAGTTTCTCCTGAGGTTCTGCCCGTGCTGTGTTGGTCACCTCCACAAGAGGCAGGAGGTCTTTCATTATTCGTGCGCAGGACCCAGCAGGCTAAACACGCTCACATTGTTCCCCGAGGGGTAGGCATAGTCAAGATATACAAAGCAAGCCCTGAACCCAAACAAAGCAACCTGATCCTACTAAACCCCACGAGACTCTACCCGGCTGGACCACGAAACTGAAAGAGCACAACCCTGCGGCCATAAAACTTAACAGCCCCGAATTTTCAAGGCCCTAGACCCCAACCCCGATCCCCAAACGATGACCCTAAACCCGAAAAGGCCTAGCCTAAAGAGTGTGCACTGGACTGCATTTGGATTGCGAGTTCATCTTGGTTTGCAGTAGCAGTAGTAGCAGTAGCAGTACGTAGTAGTAGCAGCAGCAGAAGCAGCAGAAACAGCAGCAGCAGCAGGAGGAGGAGGAGGAGCAGCAGCAGCAGTAGCAGCAGTGGCAGCAGTGGCAGCAGTAGCAGCATCAGCAGTAGTAGCAATAGAAGTAGACATAGAAATAGAATCAATATCAGGAAGAGCAGCAGTTGGGATGGGGCAGCGAGAATTCTACTTGTTTTGAGTGCCAGAGGCACTACTCTTGCTGCCTGGATGCAGGTTTAACCGCATTGCGTTGTCCGACGATAGCTCCTCATCTGAGACCGAGTAAAAAAAAACCGGAACTGCCAAAGCGCGCAGCGCGAGGGACATGTCCATTTAGGATTCAGGGTGATTGAGACGTTTTCGGATTCTTGATTTAATCTGCCTGGCAGCTCGTCCTAGCGAATTATCACTGCAAATCATATTGGGCATCTTGGTGTTGTTTGGTCGAACTTTTTTGCATGCAGTAGCCAAACTCGTGTAGGGTTTGCCAGGTCTAGAAGTAGCAAATTAATTCGGAACTCTGATCTCGCGGCAAGGCCGTATCCAGTGCCCCGTATACAGGGAGGACTGAATTAGGGTTATACACAGATTGCATGTTGTCACGCGATATTGGGGGTCAAGGATGATCCAGCCTTGAGCCCGACACAGAGCTTCCGGCTTGCTGCATGGCGCTTCGGGGCCTCACTTCCCAGGGGGACAGGACCTGCTGAGGCCAGCTGCAATGCAAGGAAAACAGAAATTGCCGTGGGTTCCTGGGGGTAAGGCTTTTGGATGGTGTGAGGTTTCCAGTTTCGGGGTCATTTTAAGTTTGAGAGGTCAAGATGCAGATTTCAGGATTCAAGATGCACGGGTTCAGGATTTGTGGTTTCTAAATGTTTCTAACAAAGTCTTTTCAACGGAAGTACAGTCGAAGTCTCTTTGTGACTGCTTAGTTACCGTTTGGTTCTTCATGACCGTAGATGGGTTGCCTCGAATTCATCGTCTAGCCTTTCGGGGTAGTACCCTGTGACTGGGTGTCAAGCATCATTTCCGCTGGACTGCCGAAGATCCCTTACAGTAGCCTAAGCTTCAATCTTGGGACATGTAGCACTACAAGCCATGACAGCTTTCACAATAATGACACCTGTATGGGTCATTGACGGAGTGTTGCCCCGTCGGACGGGCTAAGTGGTTTTACATTTGGCACAAGTTGAGTAGCCAATCCCTGTTGACAGACACATCCATGAAACGCACTGCACGATAAAGGAATTCCGTTTTCCTAGGCTTAGACGATGCAACAATGCAAATTCTGTACCAGGAGTGCAAGCTGGCATTGTTCCAACTTTGAAATATTGGACCTGCAGATAGACACCAAAAAGAAGCAGGATCGCAAGCTGGTGGACACGTAATGACACGTACAAAGCTCTCTGCCGCCATAACGTTTTTGCTCAAAGCGGTATCTCCACTCGCCAAAGCCACGTCTGACGTCGCTCAAGCACCGCAGCTTGGGTCACAAAAAGATGGTTTCCCAAGAGTAGGACTACCTTCCGGCGGTTCCCTATAACAAGGACTGTAAGGAAGATTTTTCGGGGGTCTACATTAGGGTCCCCCTATGTAGAGAACCTTCCAAATGTTGGATAAAGTATGAAGGAATAGGAAATAATGAAGCACTAGAAAGGGCCCGTGTGATCAAGTACAAGCCAAAGTTCACTTTGGAGGTGAAGTTCGGCAGTATGTAGGAGCTGGAACTGCTCCAAGGGAATCTGCAAGGAACTGGGTTTGAGGAACATTCGGCGGGAAGTGAGCAATGATTGAATGGTAACATGCACCATTATAATGGCTGTCCTAAAAGTTCTTGCTGGTCGGCAAACTAATAGAAACCATGAGGTTGACATTAATAAGTCAGTGAGACAGTCTGAATTCCTCAAATGAGTTATATACAGGGGGTTAGATAGGGGACTATTATAAGGGTTCTTAAGGAGGATCTTAGGAGTTTTGACCATGGCCGATGTAGCGACAGATTCCCCTGCCTTTGATTGCATGTGGGGGGTGAGGTATGCTTCTGAAGCCGTTTGTTGCTGTTGTAAGGGTCATGTCAGAAGTAAGCACCATTGCAGACCTGTCAAGCAGCTTCATGCAGGACTTTTACTCTTGAAAATATATCGACCGCAAGGACAGCCCAGACTGTACAGCTTTCCCCTCTGGTTTACGTATATACAGCATACATACAAGAAATGTATTCATATTTCTGACATTGCCGCAACTGGAGACCACTTGTCAACTTAGCTAGGGTCTTCATAAGAATGAGCGCTCCTGGGTTTAGTTACTACATGTTCAACATGGTAGAGTCAGCTGGGAGCTCTGACAGCTGGACATGCTTTTCTGGCTTTGCATCTTTCTTGTCTTACCTGAAATGGTAGGTCCGAAGCCAGGGTTCCAATGTACTCCAAAGCCCTAAGACTCTTAGCCTGGGGATCTAAAAAGCATCCTGTATGCTCAAATCGCACTTCCCAAGTCCGAACCCCAGTTCTTGAAACAGATTCTAGGAAGGCCGTGCGAAACTTAGAGAATCCAAGAACGCAATACACGTGCATAGACTCGCTACAAACACGTCACGCAAGCCCAGAAATTCTCAAGCTCCAGACTTCAAATCTGAGATGAGAAAGCAGCAGCCTAGGCCTTTCTCAGGATGAGGACTTTGCTGACCGAGGCACGCAAGGGCAGATCGAGGTAGTGCGCCGAAACATGAGCAGCTAAATCATCGCAATCATTTCATTTCGTCTTCGTACTGCCCTGACTGCTTCTGCGAGTACTATTTCTACTCTTGCCGCCACTACTCCTACCCCTGCTATCACCACATCAGACTTTTGGAGACTCATACCTTACGTGGGTCTATTTGGTCCATTTTGCCGAAAATTCTCCTTTTGGACCCGTGGGGGTTGGAGCTTGTCAAAGGGTTTGAAAGTTTGAGATTCTGTAGGGATTCAAGGTGGAAGCACCTTTGCAATGTAAACCTTAAATCCAAAACTTTCCACCTTGTAGTGCCTTGAGGCTGTATAAGGGTTCCAGTTTGGGTATGTGGCTCGATGGGATGTTTCCGGACTGGAAGCTTTGAGTTTAAGGTTTTCCTGCGTCAGATATGTTGGCAATAAGCAGGTTATCGTAATGCTGCTACATGAACCCAGAGCCTGAGGCCCAAAATCAAATTTACAAAAAAAAGAGCAAATCCAGCGAATCCCTAAACCTGAAGCCCTAATCTAACTTAATCACTACACTCGAAGCTCTAGTTGCCTTGGCGAGATTGCGGAGATGTGGCAACAGGACTTCACACCAAAACCGGAATGTGAACCACCTACACTGAAGCCAAAAGTTCTGAACGACATACACTGAACATCAAAATTCCACACTTTTCGCCCCCAAACCCTTACTGTCGGAACCGTCCAGGAAGTTCTGAAGGTCCCCAAGGGCACCGTGGCAGTTAGATATGAGCCATTGGGTCTTGGGAGTGTAGAGGTGAGAGTGTATGCGTTTTGCTCTTTGGGTTGTGGGTTTTGGAATTCGTATTTGAGGTTTTTGGCCACAGGCTTTGGATCCAGCATGGGTAGGACATCCAGGTGATATCATACGGTCGCTATACTCAATGTCGTACAGATATAACACGATTGTTTCAAAAATGCCTACCTAGCATCTAGCCCTTGGGATTTTTCGGTCTAACAGTTGGGACCAGCCATCCCAGGTCTTGCTTTGATTTCTACGGTTGTTGATAGTAGTTCCGTAGAACCTCCGCTGAGTCCTGGGATGCAAATCCACTTGCAGTGTCCTTTGGAGATTATGTAGTAGGTTGCTGGCTGTTAGCCAGCACGGTCGTGTCCTTCATCTGCATACCCGTCATGCAGCATTTACCAGGAAGTGACCCATGATTTGAACCCTCCACGTCAGGCTCCGATGCAAAGGTCGTATGAAGCGGAATGTTGTGCTTGTGATGCTTGTGCAGGCTCACTTCATTGTCGACATGGATTAGGGGTTTCCCAGGTTTTGATCCTGCTTTTTCACATGCGGCTGCTGCTGCTTGTTTCTTTTACAAGCAGGGTTGTCTTGTAGAAAGCCCATCAACAAGGTTGAGCGCCCTCTGGAAGACTACAGACTACCGCAGTACTGCAGCATGGTTTCCTCAAAGAGGGCTAAGAAAAGACAGAAGCTCGAAAGCACCCAGAACCTTGCATGGTCCAACCTTCAGCCCGTATTTGTGACGTCCAGCACCCCTGCTGTCGCCACCACCGTCAGCAGCATTGTCATGAACACGTTACACCCTGAGCCTTCAAAACCCTACGTCCTTCATCTTGAGCCTTCATTCCTTTCCCACAATCCCCGGCCTTATACCCTTGCCGTCTCCTAGCTGTATAGATGTTATCTTCCCTAGGATTTTGGGATCTGATTAAGAAGAAGCTACGCCCGCCACAAGAGGTGAAGCCACACCATTCATGTGCAAGTCCGTGACCAGGCTGTTTACACATTTGGACACCCTGAGCAACAAGCAATCACAAGAGCACAGCTCAGGCGTGAAGATCACCATCAAGTCCAAGATCGTCGAGGCGGGAATCGGGTGGGAACCTCTCTAATTACCACAGGGCGGCTATAGCGATTGAAGGGGAGTTGTGAGTTAGGTTGAAATGACTGCAAGGGGTCCACACACTCGTTTACTGGAGCCCAGCCCCTACGTCTGAACATTGTTGATTGAACTTCGATTCGTCAACTTGATGCGCCCTACCAATCCCGTGCAACGTCATCACACCTCATTGCTACCTCAGCACCTTTCGCCAAGTTGTGGTGCTAAGCCTCAAGTCCTCCTTTACCACCAAATCTCTGCGCCGCAACTCCTCAGCCCCTGAAGCGTCAAGGTCAAGGGCAAGCACGGTGAGCTTAAGCGTGACTTCAAGCACCTGCCCATCGAGCTCTTTCTCTCGGACGGTGGAAAGAAGGCCTGTTTCATGGTTTGTCGGCAGGTCGGCTTCTGTGTGGCTAGTAGGTGGGGTGATTCCTTTTTATTGCGTTGGCTCATGAGGGTTTTGCGATGTTCTGGGTTTGTAGGGCGTGCACAACCCGCTTTTGGTCTAGGGCTCAGTGCAGGAAGAATTGTGCAGGGGTGTGTAACTTCGCCTCTAGGGAGTGTAGGTCTGTAAAATTAGGGTACAGGATTTGGCTCGCGGCTAGCAGTGGGCGTAGTCAGAACAGTCGCGGGAGTAGTAGTGGTAGCAGATATGGTGGTAGACTCGCGACTCACGGGTTTTAGAGAGAAGGATTTTTGAACAGAGTGAATTTCTTTTCCATGCTCCCCATATCCTCATACAGCATCTATATGCAGGCTATTGCCAATATCAGCCTTGTTAGGGGATGCTCAACAGTGGATATTGTAGTTTAATATAGTCCCTAATGAGGAAGAGGAACCCATGTCCAATGAATTATACAGGAAATACTGGCTGTAGCTCGTATCACCCCGATATAACCCCAAACCCTCACCTTTGAGATGGCCTTGCAACGAAAGCCGGCGGTTCCGGGACGAAGGGGTTTCGCAACACAGCCCCTGCAACTCTGTCCCTAAACGTAGGGCCAAATCTAGCTGCTACAAAGAGCAGGAAGTACATGAAGCTGGTGATTTCTTGTGAGGGTGCTCTGTCCATGGTGGAACTTCGGTTTGAGGTTTGGTTTCAAAGGGATGTTAACACTCCGACCTTCCTGCTTGGTTAGGGATCTTGTATGATACGGTGGATACCCAAAATCCTGCATGACCCTAAGTTCTTTGTACCTTGCCAGTTATGGTACCACAGTATATTAGGGCCAGGCAGTATTTTTAGTATCAGCTTTATGAGATATGCGCCTTGTTGAGGAGTAGTGAGGCCGCTTGATAGCTTTTGATACGGTTCAAGATGCATTGTTTGGGACTCTTCGCAGGCTTCCAAGCTTTCTTCCTGGGTTCTTGGATAGAAGTGGTCGCTTCAGACGACATCTTGCAAGCTTTTAGAGACTGGACGTTTGGTGCTCAATAGCTAGCAGCGTGGCCATTCAAAGGAAAGTAGTTGCAGGCGAGTTACACTAAAGGGTACTCGCGTTGAATCTACAACCTGCAGCCCTAATTCTATGTCCACGCCTGAACCTGAGCGCCAAGCTTCGGAATCAGCCTCAGTTTTCGCAGGCTAACCCATGTTTGATCCAGGTGGTTGCGCGCATGTACTTCGCCAAGAGCAAGCAGTGCTCCATGCTGAACAGTGCCCCTGGGACAGCAGGACTCAGAACAGACCTTGCGGTGGATCAGATCCGCCTTTCACAGTGCATGCCTTCCCTAAACCCTAAATGGAGAGAATGGATGTGCAGGGTTTTCCATTTGAAAACTTTGGTACTGGATAATCTGGAGGTTCTGCAGTGCCTGTCCCTGAATTGGGGCCCTTCATGCAAAGCGTAGAAGGCATGTCTGTTTTCAGGGCTTGGCAGACCGGAGGTTTTACCGATCTCCAGGTTCGTCAGCTGTATGGTGCACAGCTTTTGGAAGCTTTCATCGCCCATAGTGTGATGTCTGGCCAGGAGCCGTGATTTCTCTAACCTTGGGAAGGCTTGAACAAGCCGGATTGATGCAGCAGCAAAAGTCTACTTCCCCTTTAAAAAAAAACCCTATAGTACTAATTTCCCTACTAACTGTTATTATTGCCTTTCTTGATAGCTGATGCCTGACAGCCTGGCTTCAGGTTTCCGTCGCCGCTCCTCCCCTTACAGCTCAAAAAAACAACAAAAACAAAGAGTTGAAGAATTTGCAAAGGTGCCTTAGAGACTTCATGATATTGCTACTGTTACTAGTGTTAGTATAGTTAGTATTCTTATTTCCCATCATTAGCTATTAGTTTATTGCTAAAACGGAGGTCTTGCTGCTGATAAGTGCAGTTCATCCGCACCTTAGCACGGAGCACACAGGTTTGCAGCCACATCAGCAACCTCTTCGAGGCCATGACCCCACGAAGGTGTTTGTCGTTTGAATCATCCCGGATAACAGTTTATAAGGCTTGGGGATCAGGGATTACGAGTTTTGTGTTCGCAGGTTTGCAGTGGAGAAGGTTTGTGGTTTAGGCTTGCTTCTTTCAGCGTCATTTTGACAGTGCTGTGAAAACATCTGTGACATCATGGAATCGATGTCACAAAATTCACCCCTGCAACCCGAGATTGTATTGATCTATCGAACTGCCGCAGAGACTGTAGCGGAGCTTGTTTTGCCAATGTTGCTCCACTCGATCAATTTGCATTTCGTATTGTTGTTTACCCCTTTCCTAATTCCTATTCCCAGGGTGTGGCGCACAAGTTCGAGTACAAGATGCGCCTCGTGTATGCGCACTTCCCCATCAACGCCAACATCATCAACGGCGGCAAGGCTTACAGTTGTGATGAGGGCTGGACCCACACTGTATGATAAAAACCCGAACTGTTTTGTGATACCTATAGAATTCCACCTAGAATTCGTGTCCCTGCCACTACACTCCCTGTAACTTTTCCAGCGAATGGTTCATGAGGGTACTCGGCAGCCCACACGGTTGCAAGAGTAGCGGAAGTCCCCGGCCATGGCATGCAAGTCTTTGTATTGGCAATGGCAGGAGCATATCGGTGGCAGCAGCAAAAACACGTAGTGCAAGGGGTGGTAGCAGTCGGAGCACCAAAGATTATAGCACAGTAGTAGGATTGCTATCCATCAGGTATCGTAGCAGCTATTGAGTCACTAATGACAACAATCGAGTCAGACTCAAAGTGTGCACTGACCACGCCCGTTTGCGGCCTGGAATCAAGAGAAGTCGAAGTGGTCTCCGGGCAATGCTAGGAGTTCTCGAACAACCAAAGAGATCGTTCGTTGAAATCAGGCGGTGCTCAGTATAGCGTCGTCGTAGTGATCTTCGATTTCGTGTCCTCGTTGTGGGCATAGTAGCTTAGGCAACGTCCCAAATGTTGCAGGGTTGTGTATCATTGCCTGGGAGGCTGCTGCCTTCCTATTCGGGCCATCGAATTTGCAATGGCGCTGCAGATTGTTTAGGTGATCTGTAGAAAATTGGAGGAGTAAGTGTTTCCATTGCGAACCCTGCGAGCATGGCTGCCTCTGATGTTTTAGTTTGTTACAGGAGCCCACCCCGGTATTGCGATTGCGATTGGTACCTTCTGACCCCGTCATGCCAAAATTCGCAGAGCCCACACCTTGAATATTTCAGACCGTCGAGATCCGAAACTTCTTGGGTGAGAAGGTTGTGCGAACGGCGCTGTCCTTACACTCGTGGTTTAGGGTTGAGGGATGCGTTAAGGGTTGAGGGCAGCTTAGGTAAAGCCAGTAACAGTAAAAGGAATAGGATTGGGACTAGATGTTTTTTGCATCAGTAATAATCGCACGAATAGGCATGGACAATTGTATCAGAAATAGTAATAGTGTCAGTATTGGTAACAGTAGTAGCAACAGTAGCAGTAGCGGCAACAATAAAAGTAAGCAGTAGAAACAGTAGCAGGCATAGTCACAGTGGTAGCAGTCGTCATCTTAGTAGTAGTCGTCGTTGTAGCAGCAGCAGCAACAGCAGGAAGGATGAGAAGCAATAGTAAAAGTGCAGGGAATGGCAATAGTCAGGTCTGTAAATTCAACCCTCGACCTTGTGTTGGCTTGTCCTGGCATCCATAATTTTTGTGGTATGTTTCCCGGCCACATCTTGCATGGTTTGCTCAACAAAGCGTGCATTGGTGCCTTCCTTGTACATTCTCTTACAGGGGGGGCTATGATGCGAAAAGTAGAACAACAGGATGATAATGATTCTGAAGCCGAAGTCTGCCACTACGCTAGCTAGCCTTGAGCAGCGCAGCAAAACTACTGTGAATTACTTGAGCTCCCTCGGTTCTTTCCAAAGTGACGTGACAAGCATCTTTCATAGAGCTAAACATTTATGATACTTAGCCCTAGGCCGTGTGGAATTCCAACGAAAGCCTTGGATACCTGAACTCCTAGATGCCAAAAGCTCTCACAACAAGGAGAAAACTTAGATCTTGTTCTTAAAGATGAGAATGAGGAATCATAAGAGAGGAATGATGACTTTGATAATTAGTAATCCTTCAAATACTAGAAAGTTGGCACCCAACAGCAAAATCCCAAATCTTGATTGTTAGATAAGGTTGGTATGGGCCCACACTTAGGCTCTACCTCTACACCACTTGTATTCAACGGCAGCACAACCCTACACCTCGAAAACCCAAGCCGTTAAAACGCTTGACACCCTGACCCCTACCAGAAACTTCATGCCAGCACGGCTTAGTCGTTATATATTCCATGTATGGTCCTGCAGAACCTTTGTTGCAGAACTACCATAACCCCATCGAAGCGAAGACAAATTCTCCACTTTCCTTAGGTGCACATGTTGCCCGGCGTCATTGTGGAGAAGAGCGCCTCCACCAAGGCCTGGACCCTGCTGAGTACAAAGCTAGGGATCCAGGGTTTTGAATTAAGGGCTTAGGCCTCTGCTTTGGGCATTTCGTGCGTGAGAAGATTTTTGGGATTTATGGTCAAGACATGCCAAGGGCCACATGCCAAGTTCCCAGCAATTTTTTCAAGACATTTCACGTTCAGTCAAGCCATCATTATTAGCCGTCATGATTAATATGTCTTTCAGGAATCCTTGTAAGCCCCTCCTGCTAGTCAATAGTCCTCTTTGTGGGGATATTGTTAGGGGAGGGGATTCATCTCCGGGAGGATGAGCTGGTCGTCAGCGGTGCGGACATCGAGCTCACTGGTCAGTCCGCAGCCCTCATCCACCAGACGCTTCCTCGGGAACATTTAAGCTAAGGGTCCTAATAGCTTCCATGTAAGAACCTCTTTGTGGTTGGGATACTAATCGGGCGGTAAGGGGATTTCATACATTCAGGGTCCCACAAGCCAGGGGATCAGCAGGATTCTCAGCATGGGTGCGCAAGGGTTTTGGAGTGGGTGGTTTGAGGTTCTGGGAAATGGCCAACTGGTTGATCATGGGGAGAACTGAGGGTCAATTTGGCGATCTGGTAGAGATGTTGTATGAACCAATTTGCGGTTTACAAGGTTTACATATGACTTGGTGATTACATATGGAATCAGTAGGGATATCCAGAGCGCCCCACAATTCCTAAAAGGTTGAGTTGAGGGTTTGCTGGGCTGGATGTCCACAGCAGTCCTCGGCCGCAGAAACCGGCCCAGCCAAGATGCGTCTGATGAGGTCCTGCCTTTGCAAGAAGAAGGATATCCGAAAGTTCTTGGACGGAATCTACGTCAGCTCTCATGGTGTCAAGGAGGCGGGTCGGTCAGGCTCTTGAGAGCTTTGAATTTCTACCCCCGGGAATCCATGCGAAGGTTCAGATAAAAGGCTAAGGGGTTTCTTTCTTTGGTGCACCTTTGGGCGTGCCACATGTTGGGCTTTCCCTTCCGAGCAGTACTGGGGGTGCTCAGAAGCCTTTAGCCATGAGATGTAAACCCCACGTGCTGCCCGCGTTTTCAGCCGGATTCTTGTCGACTTGGGTATCAAGTCGGCGTCACTAAGGTTTACACCAAGGGTAGGACGCAATGCCAGTACCAGGGATTTCAGGCAGCCTCGTCTCCGGTTTCGGTTCCGGAGCTCAGATGCACAGGGAGCCAAATACCGTCCTTTATCCTACCTAACGCAGATGGTCTTGGCTGGGTGGGGGCTGCTCCAAGTAGTTGTGTGCGGGAGATCCGGGATTACGGAGTGTCACTCTTCATGATAATATAGGGGACGACTGTGCCGCATCCCATCGTTGACACATATCTTTTCGTAACATTGAGACAACGCTCTTATGTTGCAAGCCCTTTGATATTGAAACCGGACCCTTGTCATCAGGACTAAAGATGTCGTCTGGATGTTGCAGCAACTTCCGACACGTGGCGGGCGAGAGTGGTCGAAAAAAAAGGTTCGCGCTTGAGGCTGTGGCTTGCAAGGATGAACGGCAGCTGGAGCTGGTGCTGGTGGCGGAAGAGAAATACTGTAAGAGTGGTACCAACTATAGAGGTGGTTGCATGTCGAAGTAGTTATCGTGATTATGCTAGGGGGGGAGGAGGAGGAAGAGCAGTGACTGAGACTTTCACCTCCCGGGAGGAAGAAGGCAATTTTCAGATGGGTTGAGCTCGATGACTTTCACGCACGGCTCCTCAAACGAAGTGGGCATTTGGGTTTTTTCAGTGGCCGTGGCCCACCGTTGAAGAGGAACCTGGTCAGGGTTGCAGGTTCTGGTATGCAGAGCCGACTGTCGAAGATTATGCTCCCTTGGAAGAGGGTTGCCTATGCTATCCTTCTCCTGCCTCCATTTGAGAGGTTTCATGGGAGGGCTCCTTGTACTCCATCCCTAGCAGGGCCAGAAGGTGGTCATGTGGGCCAATCTTCAAGTCTGCGTGGTTGCCTCAATGACCATGGAGCTTTTCGTAGAGCATTGCATGCCATTCCCACGATGCCAGCTCAACAACTGATTAGCGTGCGTGCTAAGCCTGCACAGGGCAACACCTGCCAGAGGTTGCATGTTTTGTTTTCGTGCCGTAGCTGTTTCAGCATAGTTATCCAACGGTGCCGGTGTTTGGGGCTGAAATTAAATGACGATCGATTTGATGATTTTTGTCATATTGGCAGACACCCTTTGGTCTGCAAAGCAAGAGTTTGCCCAGGGACGTGCATATCATCCAACCATACGTCCTTCAATAGCAAACACATGTAATGTGATTACGAATATGGACGACCTCGTCCGTTTACCAGATGTGCCACGGTCAACGCTGCTGAAAGATTGCGGTGAGCTGCTCCGCTTTCTCTGGATGCATGGCAGAGTCTTTGACCGACCTCCGGAAGATATTTTGAGAAGCTCTGAGCTGAATGTCAAGTTTGAATCCTGGTTTGACTGGGAGCTCGCGCAGCCTTGCACACACGTCGTGCATGGCACTTCTGGCCGTGTCACCAGCACCTGGCTGCGTGTGGAGCTAAAAGGCATGAGTGGGCCGTCCACAGCAACAAATGGATGGTCGAAGCCGATGGTGCCTTGGTACACCTTGCATGGTTTTCAAGGTCAGGCTTTGAGACTCGTGCAGGCTGCCTGTGTTGTGGATTGTGAAAGTGCTCAAGGTGAGCTATCATGGGACGAGGTGGACGAAGTTGCCTTGGATCTTCCAGGAAAGGCGATTATCTGCAGGACCCCGAGTGGCTGGTGGCACCAAAGGCGACAAGCAACTGCCTTGATTTCCGAAGTCTGTGCCCTGTCCCACTGTGTGTGTGAAACTTTTTGACATTTGTACCCCTACATGTCCAAAACCTCCCTCTAATAAGGTTCTTTCAGTAAAGTTGCATGGAAAGAAGTTGGGATTGCTGTGGCGATATTGTTGCTGTTGCTGTCAAACAGCTGCTCACCAAAACGTATTCTGCTGAAAGCTGGGGGCAGCATGATCCATGTGCTACAAGCAACATATTCATTTCATGAGCGTTACCTAAAATCTCCATTGACCACGAGCCGAGTGAGGGCACGTTCCAACGGTCCATTAATTGCGGGTGTGTGCAGGCGTGTGGACTTCACCCTGTTTTGAGATCGCAGAAATGCCGCTGGGCCTGACATCAGATTCTGCGCATGCTGCCGCATAGGTTTCAGCTGCACGTGGGGACAGACATGCGAGTCCGGTAAACTCTCAAGGCCCCCAAAGAGATGCCCCCAACATAGTGTGGTCCTTGTGTGACTCAAAAGAAAGAATCCCCCACTCCACGCAAATGCCAGGTATGCCTGGCCAGAACCACTGGTCGGGGCAATTGCCAAGCCTTGGGATCCATGGAAGGTGAGTGTTCCATCATCGTATGTCGAGCCCATTGGCAAGCTTACAAGACCCCAAAGTTAGCGTATTTATGCTATAACTGAAGTTGCATGCAGCGTGTTGTTTCTGTCCTTGCTTGAATAGCTAGCATGCTTTGTTGTTGGGATCAAGACGGGCCTTCCTATGCTTTCAGGCGCCGACGGTGCGTTTAGCACAGTTGCGGAGAGAGCGCTTCCAAGCTGTGCTTGAGCTACGTTTGCTTTCGTGGAAGCAACATACGTCACAGATATGGGTAACGCAGGACTCTGGGAACCTGGCGTCGGTTTCCGTGTTTTGGGTAGATTCCAAGTATGCAAATTAATTGCAGGAAACCATTTTTCATGAACTGATGCTCCACGACGATTTGGTACCGTGGCTCCATTGCTTCGCGGTAAACTTCCTGCTGGGCAAAATCCCAGGGTGAAGAACATACTGGTTTACTTTGCAAGTAATGGTCTTTTCGTCAGTTCAGAAGGATGCTTGTTCTTTGAGGGTTTGGCGGACCTTATATTTTGGCGCACATTTTCCTGGGCGGCAGAAGCCATGTTGCAGTAAGAAAGTCCAGGTATGAAGAGCCCAAGAACTGCCATAATCTGACCGCCACCTGTTTACCTTGCTGCTCAAACTTACCAACCAGGCATGCCCCTCGCTGGTACCATCCGATGAGAGCCAGGACAGTCATCTGGAATTCGCGCGCGTTGATTCATGGCCCACCCGCCGGCTCTCGCACGCGTAGTTGTTAACGCTTGTCACGAGCAAAATGCGAATTACGAAAGCATGAGCTTTGCAGTCCCGTAGCGGTTGGCCTTGCGAAGTGCAAAATGATGCTTTCGTGGTGCGCTTGATACGGGAGCCTCCAGTCTCAGCAAGTCAGGGACTCCAAAGCCCATTTTGTCGTGCGCAAAAATTTTAACAATTCCAAACAAAGCTGCGATTTTCGACTGCTGGCGGTGCTCGCTGATCCATAATGTACGGGGCTCACGCTGAGACAGAGGCAGACAGCCCGACTAAATCTCAAAGCGTTGCTTTCGGATCTCCCATGCTGTGCAGACCAAACATGCAGTAACAACTCAAGCAATCGTGCATCGCCGCCATTCCCTCAGACATGGAGCCTTTCTTAGTGAAAGTTGCGCAAAACGTAGCAGCACGGTGCCACGCTGGTTCTGTGAACTTCTCCCGATATGATGCACTTTTTGCGCATCCATGCACGCGATCACAGCGTGCTGATGTGTATGGGACCACGGCGACCTTGCGGCGTTATCTCTGACGCAGGCTTTCTTGACATCTTGACACCGTTGCGCGTCGGATCACAATTATGTGACGAAGGTAAAACTTATGCAGCTATCAGTGCTCTCGCGTGGGCCATCAGTGACAGGATTTTCTACTTCCATCGAATTCGTTTCAAGCCTGACTGCTCCTTAACCCTTGCTTCGGTCAAGGTCCCACATGCCATCTATGCGTTTTGAATGCAGGTTGTTTGTTTTTTTCTTGGGCCCTGTTAGCGGAATTTGTCTGGCTCTTTACCATGTTCGCTCCGCATGTTACAGGTTTCTCGCGGCTCTGGGCAGGACTGCACTATTCCATTTGTTTCTTTCCCAGCCAAAATTTGTGCAAATTTTGCTTGTGCATGTTGGTTTTGAGTTTTCTTTGTGACCTTGTGGCCCGCTTGGTGTGCAGGAATTCAGGAAACCGTGTGGCATGTTCAAAATATGGCAGAGGTCAAGCATGGTTTTGGTCCTTAGGCCCGGTTGGATTTCGACAAGCCAATTCCATAAGACCACGCGAGACGGTTTCCAGGGCATGGGATGGGGGCGAAGACTCAGTATCCCAAGGCTCAAACAGGACCACTCCAGGAAGTTTCGTTCAAGTTGCAAGAGATGCAAATATTTCTGACAATTGTTGCAATGATATTGTCCCACGTTAGGCTGCTGGCAGCCAAAATCAAAAGGTTTACAACAATACCTGCTCGTATGCAATACTGCGTTGTGGATGCGTAAGAACACAGCTTGCTTGTTGGAAAATAAATGGGCCACCAATGCAGCCGGATGGTGTCCAAAACTTGTTTTCAACATTGTCTCCGTGCCACTGGCTGCCATCTACTGCCGGCTGCAGCGTTGCATTGTCAATCTACTGAACGAGGCGATGCTTGGGGGAGGCGCAGGCCGGGTCCTGCAAAAAAGGAAGGGGGGTCAACCCGTTGGCCCTCAGCCCGCCCGCGCATTTGTGTGATGGCATCGTCAACAGGCAAGGCACAACAATGAATTTTTGCGCAGCCGTGTGGTCCTGGGGAGTGCGCTCAGCCCGGTCCAGCTTCTGCGAGCACAGCACAGGTGGAAGCTCAGGCATTTCCACATGAACAGGGTCCTTCCGGCGATGTCGCTGTTGAAGTTGCCCCCGGGTGACTGCGATGGCGCCAGGATGCCCTTGGCAGGTGTGCTGCCTGACGCCAGGGCCGCCGAGCTGGTTGCCCCCCGCCGCCGACCAGGGCATTTAGCGTGGTGCCCGAGTGTGCCCGATGGGGCCTGACAGGACAGCCACCTGCAGGCGCAAAGAGGTCCGAGAAATGAAATCATCATTCGGCTCGGCAAATTGCAGGCAAAGATTTTAGCAAAGATCAAATTTGCCGTCGCTGAGCAACATTTTGAAACAACTTGCTGTCACGTATCCAGGGCCTCCCTTGTGCAGAGGATTTGGCTGAGTAATCCAAGCCTTGGGTTTGAAAGTGCAGTCAGAGCTGAGCAGAGGTGACTTGAGCCGTATGAAGGTCTTTTGGCTTCAAAATGAGCAGTGGTCCGCTGCAGGGCTCATTGGCTCAGCGCTCTAGACCAAGGAGGACCCGCTTCGCACCGCAAGCGGCGTGAATGCTCAATGGCCGATGCTTCATCGGACGGCAGACGACGTCGAAAATAAATAGTTGAGGTGCACCCTATGTACGCTGGACCTCCTAAATTGTACCCGTGCCGTTGCTGTTGACAGTTTTTTTCCGTAGTTTGGTGCAAGGCATCCATAATCCCTGTGCGCGCAACATAG